GGGGGATATATTTTATGTCTAGTCTATCATAGCCATGAAATAGGACTTCTTAAAGCATGAGAAACCGCTTCAAACTTTACATACTTTTTGCACAGGAAGATTGAATTATACAGATGAAGCACAGCCAACTGAACACTGGCTAAAAGGCTGAGCGACCTTGGATCTCACCCACTCAAGACACTGAGATGCGCCAGTGCTGTTGCACAATCTCTTTAGAAAAACATGACTATTTGGAAATGTTCATGGATGTGGGGCTTCGTGTTTTCCTCTTCAAATATCGTTTATAAGGCACACACAAGTAGGAGGCAGCAAGCGATGACAACACACATCTTTCTGGTTATATTGCCCATATTGCACAACAGTGACATTGTTGTGCAAGATGGTTAAAAACTACAGGGGCTGTGATTTGGGATAGAGCTTTTCTGATGGGATCCTGTAACAGTTGAACTGGGATATGTCTTCTAGTGACCAGGCTACGGTATATTCGAGGCATGTCTCTCTGCCACATTTCACGATTTCAACAAAGACCTAATGGTACAGTGGTTATTCGTTAGGCTGCTAACCACAAGGTGGGCAGTTTGAAACCACCACTTGCTCCAAAAGAGAAAGACGGGGCTTTCTACTCCCCTAAAGAGTAACAGTCTCGGAAACTCACTCACAGAGGCAGTGCTGCCCTCTCCTATAGGGTTGCTATGAGTCTGAATCGACTCGCTGGCAGTGAGTGACCTTTCTGTATCCTGACACTTTCTCATCTTTTTGTTCCCAGTCACATAATTTATGGGAACTCATTTATTTAAAAGACATTTTTATTAAAAATATGTATTTTGTGGAGGAAGGGTATTGAATGAGTGACTGGATGTTGGAAATTCTAGCCTTGCTCAAAAGGCCACTAAACATACACAAAAATATCCGAAAACAGTTGAGAAAGAAATGCAAAAAGAAAAAAGCAATAGAAGAGAAGACAAGAGAAAGAGAGAAGCGGAGGAGAAATTTTTTTAAAAAGTAGAAAATCAAACAAATTAATGAAAGAAATATATAGGACCATTGACCTATAAATGTTCAAACTACTACCTCGGCTCTGTGGCTACACAATTCTCATTAAATTCAAAGGGAATGATCTGGATAAGTCCCTTCTTGACCCTTAAAAATAGCAGGAAACAATATCCTGAACTTAAAACAAATTTATAGTCTCTGTGAGCACGAACCAGCTGTGTGCGTTGAACCTATCGTGTGCGCAGTTGAATCATTAACACCCTACATGCAGGACGGTTTACTTTTTAAACCTGTTGTTCAAAACTTCCACTGAGTATGGGAGCTCCCTTCCTTACAAACAAGCAGAGGTGCTGAGGCCCAGGCAGTGACAGGCGATGAACCCACTCTGGCGACTACAGTCAGGTTTGAAGATCATCAGAGAGTAAGAGCCATTAGGAGGGAGATTACTTTAAAAGGCAGGGTTTTCAACAGTTCCTGGTAGAGGATTAATAGGCTTTTAGGCATCTGATTACAGCCTTGACAGTATTTGTCTATTACAGACCCACCGAGTGTGTTACATTGCTCAGAATCCTCAAAACGAACTCTTAAGACTCTGCTTGAGTCTGTGTGACTTCAGCAAAATTGGGTTACAATGCCGGTTTAGGGATCTGATCGGTTCTGTTGGGAAAGATGCCAAGGAATCTGAAAGCTACAGCTTGGTTCAGATGATAAAATATCAATTAGTGAATCCCCCCAATTGGGTGAACACCTCTGAGGTTGGGCAAGGGTTAACACCCTCAATCCTAGCCAGAAGATTAGAGGTTCAAGTACCCCCAGCGGTGGCCTGGGAGAAAGGCTTGGTGGTCGACTTCTGAAAAACCGGCCCTTCAGAGCCCAGCGGTACCCTGACTGACACGCATGGGGTGGTCATGGGGCTGTCTCCTTGGCGACTGACTTGTTTGCTTTTTGTTTCTTTGAGACCTGATGTCTGATCTCCCTGCCTGCTTAGGTCTTCAAGGAGGGCTGAACACGGGCTTAGCTGGGAGACAACAGTGAACAGAAGTCCTCCGGAGAAGGTCGGATACACCAGTGCCCACAATTGGAGGCTTGGAGCCCAGATTCATGACTCACACCCGAGAATAACTGGTAGGGAACCAAGTCAATTTGTAAAGGACTCTGTGTCCGCTGTGGAATTCAAAACGGAACCAGACCGCCCCTGTCGGTCAGCGAGGTGGTTTGAACTGAAGTTGATCAGATGGTGGTGGAAACGGGTCTTGTTGCAATCTGCATTATTTGCCTTCTGACCACAAGAGACCCTGGAAGATGACTCGGTGTCCCTGAAATTCCTCTCTGAAGTCATCAGGCTAATGACCTTCACCTCTTGCCCAAATCAAATAGGTCAACAAAGTCGTTCCTGTCCAACCTTCCGGGACAGTTAGCCAGAATCGATTTCCTCCGCTCCGTAGCCACTGTTCACTTAAAAATAACTAACAAACAAGCAACACTCTTTTGAGTTCTTTTGATAGATAAGGGGGAGAGAGGACAGGAAGCAAGTGAGCTGGCAACTTCGTGGCTTAAGCAACTCTCTGGCCGGAAAATAAGTTAAACATATTTGTCACATTATTAGAACTTCATTAAAAAACAAATCCGCTAACAAGGACTGCAGAGAGGCAGCTGGTGGTCACTGTCCTTCTCCATCTGGAACCGCTGTGGGGGCCAGGGCCTGGGGAGCTTGAGATCAAGCCCACTCAAGAGGTTGTTATTACGAGCTCCCTTGGAGCTGGGCTCTGAGCTCATGGTGACTCCAGACTGGATACAATCAAACCCGCTGGGCTTTCATCCCCAGGATCTGTCTGTCTCTGGCTGGATGGAGGGGTCCGTAAGGTTGTCAGGGGCCGATTGTCAGAAGGTCTCTCTTCCTCGGCTGTCTTCATCTGGAAGCTCTGCCGAAACCACAGCTAGATGGTGGTGGGGAGTGAGATGCACAGGATGGGCGGGCACGACACCATCCAATCTCTGTCAGGGGAGGCGAGAACTCAACTACTGGGTGACTACTGCCCTTCCACTCATCAGGTGGTTTCAGGTATACGGGGTGGTGGAGGTGGGGGTGGGGGGGCACACAAGTTCTGAAGGCCAACTCCTGATGTTGAAAGTTGTGTGTAGACCCACAGAGGTTACAAATGTAGGCAATTCTTCTTTCAAACCCTGTGTGTGTATTAGTGGTATTTCGGGCCATGGGAGCTTAGAGGTGGTAAGAATCATGTCAACCTGAGCCCTACCACAGGGAAAACTTGGGGTTAAGTTCAGCCGAAGAGACGTTTGTTTTGCAGTTTAATCAGGTCAACAGTGCCAGGGTCCTTTAAGGAAGCATACTAATTAGAGCCGTCCTTTCTACTTTCAGCCTGGCTGGGTAGCATTATGCTCTTGAGGAAACATTGATATACACCACACGCCCCATTAATAAATGACCGTGGAGGCCAAGGCTCAGTGTGTTTCAATAAAGGAAATGGGCGAAGCAGGAAAACTGACCTGTTCACCTTACTCCAATGATTAACTTTAAAGTATTTAAAACGTCTGACTGCTTACACTGGCTGTTTCCCTGCGTGTGCGTCTGTGGAGAGCAACCTCACAGAATATTAACAACCACAAGAACAACACAAGGAGAGGCAGACGGCGAGGGGCTGCCGCTTCACCATGCCGGCCTGGGCTTTAAACGCTGCCTTGACAAGTCATTCTGGCGTTCTCTTCCTGAAAGGAGGCGGCGGCGGCTGGGGCGCTGGGCCTCAGAGGCCTCCTGGCCCCGTGCACCATTACAACCAGGGGTTTCTTGAACCCCGTTTCGTGGCCCGCCCACTGGAAACCCTCTTGTAAAACTGCCAGCTCGGTGCCAGGCAGAACTGACAAACTTTGCCTGTTCTCAGAGCTGCAGAATCATGCTGAAAATAAATAGGCTGCTGCCTGTGAGATTCCCTCCTATAGTTTGCAAACATAGTCCATGTCCTAGATGTGCTGCGTTTAAACAAAGTATGTTTCTCAGTTCCTTCCATCTCGGGCTGGAATTGTCACCATTTGGCAATGACTGATGGGGAAGGAAAGCTCGCTCCCTGCTGCATATACATGTGGATGAAAGAGAAGAAATATTTATGGCTCACGCTTGGAGACCAGATGCTGTGCGGCGTCTCTCCCCCTAGGACGTTTGGGGAGACGGAAAACCGAGAAGCAAAGCAGCACACTGTTGTGCAGGGTGGGGGTGTGGGGGGAGCTGAGGGGAGCAGGCAAGGAATTGACCAAGTGTCATATTTAATTTGATACCTGATTGGATGGTACTGTCGATTACTGTTGGCTTTTCTGTGGTCAGCGTGGTGGTACCCCCTGAAAAACAAAACAAACCTTCAGTTACGTGAAAATGAGAAACAAGGGAGCCTGAGGAGATAATGTGCAATGCAGACACGTTGGATGGTGTGTGCCTCTATTGGAAGCAAAGGTTTTCCTTAGACAATTCTTCCTTTAATCCCAGCTAGAGCAGTTCTTCTTATGTTGTACTTACCACAGGTATCAAATCCAAGTCAACTAGTCGTTTTAAAAACTCAACATTTCTTCTAAAGCATCCAGGTAACATGGGGAGGTGGAGAATTTGTCCCAAGGGCATTTGCTGATTCCCAGTCTGAGCCTGGCATATAACTGTGATCATGGCAAGCAAGGGTCTCTGAATGTCCTTAGTGACTGGGGTATTACCCTTGACCTAGGCCTCTAAGCTTCAAATTGTTTCCCAAGGTTTCAGACGTGTGCCTTTGGGGGCGTTGCAAGGATAAACCCCATGCTCTATCCTAAAATGGAACATTTAAAGTGAATGACAGGGCCCTCCCTCTGTCCACCCCACCCCATTCTACCCCCACCCCCCATTGCTGCTGTAGTTGTTTGTTTTTCCGAGGACAAATATTCTCCCCGCTTTGTGGTTTGGAGAAGCTGCAAGAGGCAGCAAGAAGAGGGGAAGAGGTGAAATATTTCTTCATCGTCCCAAAGAACTGCAAGATAGAGCTAAGAGCAAGTCTAACGCTGACCTTTCAATCAGTCTGGATATATTTTGGAATTTCCTGTCCGGGGACTGGCAGTAACTGAGTTGGAATTTGCCTTTACCCTCTATTCTTGTGAGAGAGTGCTTCCATTTTCTACTATTGCCATTAGACATCTGATTTAAAGTGAGGCTCTCAACCGTGCCCAATCATAAACCTCACTCGAGGACTTGCTGAAATAGCGGATGCCTATCCGTATGTCCTACCACTTGCCATGTGATCTTTCTGTGGTGGCTCCCATAATGCTGTGATGCTGGAAGATATGCCAAAGGTTTTTCAAATATCAGCAGGGCCACCTTTGGTGGAGAGGTTGTAGTGGTGGTGTAGTGGTTGCAGTGGGCTGCAATCTGCCTGGTCTGGAGTTAGAAACCACCAGCAGCTCTGCAGGAGAAAGACTGGGATTTCTACTCCCGTAAATGGTTACAATCTTGGAAACCCAAAGGGTGTTGTTATGAGTCAGCATGGACTCGATGGCAGTGAGGTCCCCCCCACCCCCAGATGAATAGGAACTAGGAAGAAAGGCCTGGTGATCTACCTCTGAAAACTAGCCAATAAAAACCTCATGGAGCACAATAGAATGCTGCCTGACTCATTTTCTAGGAACACTTCATCATGAGGGATCAATTGTTGGAGGAAAATACCATGTTTGGTGAAATAGAGGGACAACGAGGGCATGGGAGACTCTTTGGTAAGATGGACTGGCATAATAGTTGAATGATGGGTTTGAACATGTTCACAATTGTGAGGGAGATGTAGGAAAGGACAAGGTTTTGCCATATTGTGCCTAAGATCACCATGCGTCAAGGCTGATCGGATAGCACCCTCCCATCCATCCATGGATCCATGCATCCCTCCATGTGTCCACTCATGCATTCATCTATCCATCCGTCTCCCTGCTTCCCTTTTTTCCATCCACCCATCTGTCCATCCATCCATCCAGCTTACATTAGACCTTATTGGGAACCAGAATTTCAAGAGATAAGGCCTCGAAATCTAACATTGAACACTGTTAGCTGCGTTTTATAATCTGCTAAATTCGGCAAACACTGATTTGCTGCGTATTACTTAGGTTTTTCGAGAAATCCATTTCTCCTTATGTGTGTCTGCTGCAGCTCATGCGCTAAGCCTAAAGGAATCTGTTATCTCAAGAGATAAAGCACAGAGCTGACTCAGGGTGGGGGCAGGGTGGGCGTTTGGGAGGCTGCTCTAAAGGCCCTGCGGTTGTGTATCTTCCAATTGTGTTGTTCAATGAAGATGTGTGATAATCTTTCTCCTGGCCAAGCGCTCATCTAATACTTGCAGGTCCCACGGACAAGAAATCATGCTTCACATCCAGTTCGTGGATGAGAAAGCTGTAAAAATCATGCCCTTGGAATGGTCTTCAGCTTTCTGAGCTCATCAGCTAGGGCATCGAGTCACGTGACACTCACATTCCCAGTAAATGTGCAGGATGAGGGGCCACATATGTGCCTGGCCTCACTGCATCAGGCACTAAAAAGAAGGAATTATATATATTATGGGTTAAGCAGGTTAATCTATAATGGCGGAATTGGAGGGAGTCCAATACATTAGCATTCTGTTCCCAGTGGCCTTATAGGAGAAAGTCTCAAGGTGAAAATTCACTTTTTAAAACCGATATGCATTTTCAGTTTTTGTTAGAGGTGGGGAGCCAAATTCCGCTGTTGGGTACACACAGCTCCAAAGTGAAATTCGGCCTCCTGGAGCCTTTGAAGCCAATTGTATTATCCAATCACTTCAAAGGGGTTTGCAAATGAGTAACTTCAGGGGTGAATTTTCACCTTGGCAAGAGAGTGTGGGCACACAGAAGCCCTGGTAATCTCCATGCATCTTGGTGCAATCCACCTGGAATTCAGAGTTGCTCTTTGTATGGAAGGAACATTTCACTACAATACCTCTCCCTTTCAATGGACAAATGGGCCACCCCAGGAGCAGAAATTAAATCAACACCATCTGTGTTGAAGAACGAAAATCTGCTAAAGAGAGCACTGCACCCAATTTCCAAGTTTCCCCAGATCAGGGTTAAAGTGAGAACGTTCTTTGCTTTTCTTACACCAAACAGCCCACACGTGCAGCATTAACTGGGCAGCCTGTGCGACAGGATCACCAGAGAGCAGGCAGTCCCGCGTGAGCAACAAGAGGCATGCTATTTAGGGGTGAAGTGGCACCTGGGTTCGCTGAAGTTTTTGCTCCTGAGAAACATTTCCATAGTAACACATCCTTTTCCCAAACAGGATGGCACAGAGCTTCATCAACCAAAACAACCTCCAAATAATAATAATAATCACCATGACAGATGGCTCGGAATGCAATCAATGAATACAAATCATGAGCATGCCTTCCAAAATCACTTCGACTTCAGGGCGCTTTGTTGTGGTGGTTAGGTGCCCCCAGGTGGGTTCTGACCCATAGCAACCATGTACACCAGAACTGAACACTGCACAGTCTGCACCACCCCCGCAGTGGTGGCTAGGCTTAATCCCATTGTTGCAGCTGCTGTGTCCGTTCATCTCTCTGAGGGTCTTCCTTTTCGCTGCCCCTCTTCTTTCCCAAGCACGATGTCCTTCTCAGGGATGGGTCTCACGTGACAACATGTCAAAGTACATAAGACATCGTCTCAACATCCTTGCCTCTAAGGAACATTCCGGCTGTCCCTTTTCCAAGACAGATTTGTCTTTCCTTTTTGGCAGTCCGTGGTACTTTCAATGTTCTCCGTCAGCATTACAAGTTAAATGCGTGGATTTTTCTTTAGTTTTCCTTATTTGATGTTCACTAGGGCATTAGGGTGCCATTCTCAATGTCTCCCAGAGGGTCTTAAAATACACATTTTGGCACTTCAAAATGTTCATGGAAGAGTGGAATTAAAAGATAATGAGATGCTCCTATAAACTTTTTGAAGCCTTGTTGGATGTGTTCATGGAATTAGTGAAGGCGTCCTGATAGAGCAATGGTTAAGCATTTGGTTGCTAACCCAAAAGGTTGGTGGTTTGCCCCCAGAGAATGGCTCTGCAGAAGAGAGGCGGAGCTCCCTGCTTCTAGACAGATCCCAGCCTCGTCTGTCCTGTGGGCTCACACTATGAGTTGGAATCTATGCCACAGCATGCAACAACAGGGACACAAGCATAGATCTAGTGAGATAACAGTGCTCACCTGAGGGGAAAAGATATATATATATATATATATATATTTTTCTAAGTGAATAAGTAAAAGGAAGAAAGACCCAGTGATCTACTTGCTAAAAATCAACTGCTGAAAACCTTGTAGAGCAGAATTTTACTCTGACACATGGGGTCACCAGGAGCTGGAATCAGCTCAGCCACAGTTTTTTATTTCTTAAACATGTTTTTAAAATTTGAAATGCATTCCCCGCCCCTCCTCCCCCCTCTACTCGAGAAATGATCTTAAACCGTGGTGATGAAGCTCAACCTTGTACTTTTACAGGGCTGTCAGTGTTTCCGCTATAAATGACCCATTTTCCGTGGTTTGTAACTCATTGCCATACACAGTTTGCTCCAGGCTAAAATACTTGCCCTATTTCATTCAAAGGCTTCAGCTTCAATTGATTCAGTCATGAACTAACGCAGAAATGAGAAGGTTGGTTGTTCTAATACGAGGAGGAAATCTGAGGCTTTGTTTTTCATCAATATTAACTGACCGCTTTAGGGTTTATGAAGGAAGGACCCAGCCCACCGGAGCGTCACTGAAAGGCATGCACTGTGATACCCGCACTCATTCCTTTCATGGGGAATTTCACTGTGGATGTGTGAGGGGCTGCACGGCAGTCTGGGGTCTCTGACACAGGCTCTCTAGGCAACCCGGGAAGGTTCCATAGGAACTGGTTCATAGAATGGCTCTCTGTTGTTGTAGTTCAAAGAAAAAAGAAAAAAAAAAACCCCCAAAATTGGAGATAGGGGTTTTCAACTTGAACTTGGTGCGTTAGGGAGCATCTGTCTCTGCATTAATTACAGTAATTTCTGTGGCTTATGGCTAGTTACATACAAAATTTGCATTCAAAAGCCCATAGCATTGTGACATTTATGGGCCTGTGAATGCAAAGGATTTTCCTGGAAATCTGAAGGGATGTAGTTTAAAAAAAACTGAAAAAGCAAAAACACTGTCATTGAGCCCAGTCCACCTCATCGTGACCCTTTAGGGTAGTCTAGGCAGTACACTTTTATTGGCATAGACTGAGCAGTGGATCAGTTAGCTAGTGGAGTTGAACCACCGGCCTTGTGGCTTGCAGTCCAATGCTTACCTGACAGTGATGCTAGGGCTCCTAACAAATTTACTGACAACAAAGATTGCGACTCACAGTGACCCTAAAGGGCAGGGTAGAAACTGCCCCTGCGGTTTGCAAAAGTGAACTCTTTACAGGAGTGGAAAATCTCCATCTTTCTCCCACAGGCAGCTGGTGCTTTGAACTGCTGACCTTTCAGTTAGCAGCCAAACGGGGGACCACTGCACCACCAGGGCTCCTGTACTCCTGGGTTATGGCATTAAATTTCTGAGATCTCTCTTTCTCTCTCTCCAACTATTATCCATCTCTTTCTCTCTCTCCAACTATTATCTATTGTATACACATACTTTGTAATATATTTTGCCCTTTCGTCCATCTCAGAATGCAGAACTCTGTTGATCCTTCGGAGCAGAGCTTTTGAAGTAACTGAAAATGAAATGTTTCTATGGGATATGCCCTTCAAGATTTGCAGGAACCTTCTAGCCAATAACAAGGCGCTATTATGAAGTTACATGGTAACGCTTTCAGTTTCCCCCATGGAAATTAATTATGTTGGTTCTCCGTGTCCCTTCTGGGTGGGAATATAGACCTGCGTCCAAGGGCTCATGTGCAATCTCGGAGGTTGGGGATTCAGGAACATGAGAGTCAGATGCTGCATGAAACTGCAGTGTGAGCTGGGTGGTGGCAGGGGGCCCACAGAAGCCTTTGCAACAAAAGGGCGAAATCCTCCTGCCTCGGCCAATTTCCAAAGGATGTAATCCCATTTCCCCACTTGCCTAACAGTTCTGCTGCCCTTCCAAGAGGAAGAGAGGGACCTTTTCCAGCTTGCAGAGTTTTAGGACATTTTGCAGTAATAGTGCGATTAATTAGTGAGCCATTTGGCACAAGCCATCTCTGATATATAGGCTAGCTGAAGGTGATGTGAAATAACCTTTGGAAATCCGAATATAAAATGATTGAGAATGTCCTCACTGAAAAGCTACATTCCAAGGGTCAGCCTAGTTTCATCAGCTCTGGGCATAAAGTATCCACTCAGATCACTTTGGCCTCTTTAGAAAAGCAAAATAAATGGCACACGGGTTTGGGGAGGGCAGGCAGGCCAGTGCAAGGGGGAACATGGGGATCTGTACGTTTCACCCACTGCCACGGTGTCAGCTCCAGCCCATAGCAACCCCATGTGTGTCCCAGTACAACTGGGCTCAAGGGGCTTTCCTTTCTCTGGGTAGATTTGACCCATCAGCCTTTCTGTTAAAGGGAGTGCTGAGCCAAAGGCTGTCTCAGCCAGGGACTTTAGCCATGGAGAAATTCTTACTCAGTTAAGCTTCTGACTCAGACAATGGCGAACATGAATGTTTCAAATGGCTAAGGAGACTAGGGACAGTTTGTGAACACGGGTGACATGAGAGCAACGAGGACACATGCTTTCTGGCAATGATGCCTCTCTGTTGGGGGGCTGCGGGGGGCGGGGCTCCATCAGAACCTTGATGACCCACTTTCACGAGGAGTTAGGCTACCACGAGCAGGCCTTAGGTGTTCCCGCAATGACATGAACTGCAATGGTACAGCAATGGGATGAAGATGGATTCTGCACCTGTGAGCTGGAAGTCATCACCTGTGCCACTGTGGCAGTTGGCCTGGTCGTCATCACACTCATCCACTGGGTTCCCGTTTGGAGTGGTCGGTCCAGCTGTTGGCACTGAAACAAGAGCCAATGGTTAATATCTCACATCTCAGAACTGTATTCCCAAGTCTCTGACGGCTGAATTTCGACCCTTTGCAGAAAACCCAGTCCTGCTAAGCAGGCCAGGGCCATGGTCAGTCTCTCTTCCAGGAGGGGAAAGACGTGGGTGTTACTGAATGCCATAGAGAACATTTTGTTTTGGTGCTTGACCCTTATCTGTTGAGTAGAATCGGCTGCCTTAGCGTGTTACACATCATCCTCACCATTAACATTCCCTCTTTCTCGCTCTCTTTATTTGAAAGCTCTTGAGTTCTCTCTGGTTATTCATTCATGACCTAGGGGTTGAGAAGACATCCTTGGGTAGTGTCCTCTGACAGGTTGGCAGTTTGAATTCACCCAGGGACTCCTCAGATGACAGGCCGTGCAATCTACTTTCAAAAGATCAGGCCGTTGAAGTCCTACAGAGCTCAATTCTATTTTGAAACACATGAGGTCACCATGAAGCTAAATCAACTCCCCGAAGACAAACTCACTGCCATCGAGCTAATTCTGATTCATTGCAACTCTACTACAGGGCAGGGTAGAAGTGCCCCAGTGGGTTCTGCAACTGTAACGCTCTACATGAGCAGAGAGCCTCCTCTTTCTTCTGTGGGGCTTTCAGTTATCAGCCAAATTAGTAACCACAACACCCCCAGGTCTCCTCCAAATAAACTCAAGGTCAACTCACTGCCCTCTAGTAGATTCAGCTCATGGTGACCCTACAGGACAGAGCAGAACTGCCCTGTGGGCTTCTGAGGCTGCAGCTCTTTATGGGAGTAGAAAGCCTTGTCTTTCTCCCATGGAGTGGCTAAGGGTTTTGAACTGCTGACCTTATGGTTCACAGCCCAATGAATAACCATCACACCACCAGCGTTTCTCCAAACGGACTAGATAACACCTCTTGTGGGGACCTGAAAACATTGGTTTCCTTGGGCCATTTTTCTTTGCATTTTCTAGGTGCTAGAAAACTCACTTGCTATGCATGAACTCTTTAGATGTCCTTTTATTTACAAAGTTTCTAAAAGTCTATGATTAATATTATTTCCCAAAATGGAATGCCTATTCCTTGAAGCTCACTTTCTCCTCCTCCTCCTCCTCCTCCTCTCTGTCCTTTTCCTGCTTCCCCTCCCCTAACCTCCCCCTTTCCCTCCCCCGTCCTCCTCTTCCTACTTCTACGAGTCATTTCTTTTCCCTTTAAGTAAGGGTTTCAACCTGTAGGCCCTCTCTTGAGAGCAGGTGTCTGAGCGGCATGGTCTCCGATGTCCTGAGGTCAATTTACCTGCACTCTGCTAGGACTGCACCCCACTGCTGCGAGGTCTTCCCAGATCTTTGCCTTGGTCGTTAAAAGGTAGCCAACATTAATCAAAGGCTACTTTTGAAGTCCTTTAAATTTAGTTCAGGTTTTCTTTTAGCCTGTTACTCATTTTTGCAATCTGTTTAATATTTTACAGTTATCGGCATTACATATCATTTTACAAGACTTGAGCTAAATGGACATTTCTCTTGATGTTGGAGAGCCAGACGTGATATGGGGAGTTGGAGTGGGCAGGGGCAGCCTTTTACAGTTTCTGGTTCCTGCCACTTGCTCCATAGTCTGATAGTGGAGTGCAGAGTTGTGACTAATATAGAAATCCACATGCGGACTTTTTCAATTGCCCCCAAATAACCCAGGGGTTGGCAATATTGACAATGTACACAGCATTTTGACTGGCAGTTCAGACAAAATGTAGCCATGGGTGCTGGGCTCTAGTCAGTGAAGGAAGAGAATCTAAGGACCCTTCTCTGACGGTCGACGTCGCCCTTCTCTTATGAATGGGTCTCTTCTAAGGATTGTGCACAGCAGGCTTTCCACTCTTATAAAAGGTACAGTCTTGCAAACCCACTGAGGCAGTTCTACTGGGTCCTGCAGGAGGGACTTAAGAGGAGGGACAGACTTGTGGCAGTGAATCTGAGGAGTTGGAGTGAGTGCACTTGGGGAGAACTGGTTTGATTTTGGGCTTATCTATCCTGCTGGGTTTCTCTTCTGCATTTGTAACACTATTAAAAGGAGCCCCGAATCGGCAAGGTCTTCAATTCAAAACCACCGCCTCTCTGAGAGAGAAAGATGGGACTTTTTACTCCCCGAAAGAGTTACAGACTCAGAAATGCACAGGGGCAGTTCTACCCTGTCCTATAGGGTTGCAATGAGTTGGCACCAGTTCGAGGGCAGCGAGTTTGGCTTGGGGTTGGGTAGTACAGTGGGTTGGTTACGCCTTGGGCTGCTAAGTTCAAAACCACGAGCCACTCTTAGGAAGCAAGATGAGGCTTCCTACTCCCATGAGTCGTCATCTCAGAAACCCACAGGGACAGTTTACCCGGTGCTGTCAGGTCACTACGCGTCAGAATCCCCTCCACGATGGCAGTAAGTTTTGTTTTAACACTGCTTGTAAGAGGGGCTCCCACCTCGGAGGTGACACTGATTGGTGCTTAAACTGAGCAGGAAAAAAAAAAAAAGAGTGATTTGCACCCTGATTTTACTATTAGAAAATATTTTGTTTCTGTTATTCCCCAATTTGTTCTTAAATAGAATGGCTAGCTCACAGAAAGATGGAAGCTGACGAGGTTTGGGCTGTGCCTTGCCTGTGTGTGGGCCTCCAGGAGCCCACGGTGGGACCTGGCACAGAGGAGAGATTTTTATTCAGGGTCTGCTAATGGAGTGAAGAGAGAAGCAAAATGCTCTTTTTACCAATTGTGTGAAGCAGCTTGGACATCCCTTTCCTGGCTGTTGGTTTCTTTCTATGGCTTATAGCTCGGGGCTACTTCCTCCCTTTTGCAAGGTCCTTGGTAACATCTGCAGGACTATCCCACCCCCAATGTGTTCCACCTCACTGCAGGGTTTACACTGGCAAAGAGCCCTGGGCCTCTGGATTTCCACCACCGGTCCGTCAGTCCTCAATCAGACTTTCTTTCTGGGACCCAGGCTGGAGGCCTGAATCAGAGCAGCAGACCCCCTTGCCCAGATGCCTGCATCGCTCCGTGAATGGCATGGCTGCATCTGCAGCAGGTTCAACCAGCCCAATCCTTCTTTTTCTTGGCATCCCTACCAAAGGCCTAGCACAGGATCCTCGTTGGCCTGTGGTGATAGCAGTTAGATAACTCAGAGGTCTGGGACAGGACGACAGATATGGAAACAATGACACAGTAGAGGGTGGCAGATAATGGCCTGGTTTTAAACAAACACATAGAAAAGTCGCTATGAATTATTCAACCGTGCGTGGTGATTTATAACCTCAGATTTATAACCTATGGTGCATATGAAAAGCTTTATGGCATTTAATGTGCTCAGGAATGTAATTATATCTGGGTAGCTTAAAGGAAAAATGACTTGGGGAACCACAAAAAGAAGGTGATATTAAAATGCATTCTTCAAAACAACTCCGAGCATATGCTCAATTGATTAACATCTGGGGACCAACATGAGCCATTCTCTCAGCTAACCCAGAGGAAGACCTGCGTGCGGATAGAAAAACAGGTATAAGGTTACTCACTTATTCCCAAACCTATGGCAGATGGGGATTATAACCTCTGGAATCCACAAGTGGTAAAATCAGCAACCATGACACCACTTTTCCCAGCACGAATCTCATTCATTACATTTTTTAAAATGCAGAGGAGCGTGGCATACTGAAGTCAAAGGGGGAACTGAGTTTGCCCTCCTTCTTGTTACCCTTTTCCCATCACCGAAGTGGAAGCAGCCGCAGTTTCCATAGACATCTCTGCCCTTTGAGAGACTTCAGCACCGGGGAAGTGTTGTTTCCCTGCAGCCAGTCAGAAAATGCAAACGAGAAAACCATCCCAGAAGCTCAGCCTATCCAACTCGGCCTTCTGCTGGCGTGGGATGTTACTGGTAGTCGACACCACAGACGTGAACATGGATCAGGAAGAGAGCCCTACGACAACTTGAAAAACCCCACACAGATCCACAGAGGAAAGCCCCTGCATCCTGAACCTGAGGGGAGGTACGCAAGGGTTCCCCCACATGTGTGCTCCAGAGAGGCGGGGCGGTCTAGGGAGAAAGGTGGCCTGGTTCACGGAACAGGTAACGGGCACCCTATGGGAGGTTGAGAAGCACCTCTCCCCCCACCCCCACCCCCAAGTGATTACCTTCCACTTCACAGCCCAGCAGCTCCATCCTCAGCCCGAGGCCGCTGTGCGTGGCTCTCTCGGGGTAGATCCTGATGAACCGTGTGGAAAGAGGTGGAAATGTTCTCAGCTCAGGCGTGTCATAGTTGTTGTTGCCCTCAAACAGCTGGGAAGCAGGAAAAGAAAAACAAAACAAAAAACTGGTTACTGGGGGCCGGGGGAGCTCTCTTTCAGCAGTTATTTCTCCTCTTCCGTAAGGCCCATTTCTCAGTGCCATCCATGATAGGCCTGGGTGGAACCGGCCCTGCAGGTGTCCAGGAGTGCAACGCTTTACGGCAGCAGGGAGCCTCCTTCTTCTCCCTCGGTGCAGCTGGTGGTTTCAAACTGCTGACCTTGTGGTGAGCAGCCCGATGCGGAACCACTGCACCACCAGGCAGGGCTCCTTAAGATTCTTCTTGCTGCCACCTTGAAGAGAGCTGACTCTTCTTTCATGAGAGAGAAAAGCAAAACAAACCTCACGAAGCCCTTTCTGAGGAGTGACAGGTGTCTGTGTTTGGAAACGTCTGTGCACCGGGAGGCTGTCCCAGAAGCAGGGGCGCTCATGAGACACGTTTGACAACGATGTGCTGATGGATGTGCATCTTGGTGGAGCGACACTTTGATCACTTTCCCGGGGTGGAGGAAGCTCACGCTGGAAGAGAGCTGCAGGTTCTTAGAAGAGATGCCACAATTCCAATAAGCACGCCTTTCACATCTTCTTGATGGAAGGATCCCACTTTCGCTAACTTGTGCTCCTCTAGACAAGAGAGGGGTGAGTCCCTGAAGTAGGAGCCAGGCGGTGAGCCTAGGGGAAACTGGCAAACCGAATCGGTTGCTGCTGAGTTGCTGGCAGCCCTGTGAGAGAGAGTCGAACAATTTCCCCGGGCTTGCCAATGGCTGTGCCCTTTCAGGAGCAGATCACCAACCTGTCGCTCCAAGTGGATTTGACCTGCCAACTTTTCATCCAGCAGCCAGGTACGTGACCATTTGTCCACACAGGCAGCCTTCACCTAAGGTCAATGTTGCTTATTCACGAACGTGGGCTATTGTAGTCCACTGAGAGGGCTACTTACTAAGGAGCAATGCTACCTGGAGGCATCTGTAGAGGAAAGACTTTGTCTCAAGAAAGTCACAAGTGTCCCCACTCTGCGCTTGGAGAGCGGGTGCATTGCAGTGGGAATCTGCACTTCTTTGGAAGCGTTTGCCGAATGTGAAGTCACTGTGACATTTCGTAAGGGCTGGGCCACCCACTGTTGTTTCCCTGCGAGATGATTTTATTTCCCTTCTTACTCTGACAAGAAGGTCAAACCCTCCCAGCGGAATTATTGGAAAGTGAAGTGGGGCCTATAGGCTTGTTTTCTTTTCCAAGTCCTGGCTAAGCTTTCCTTTCCCCCCAACACCGTCCATTTGAAATCTCATCCCACATAGGGGAATAGTAGAAAAATTAAAATCATCTTCTTGACCTTGGGAGTGTCCCTTTGTACTTCAGACATAATCCCTTGTTTGTAAGGGGGCAGCATGGCTTTAAATGCTCAATATGCTACATATTTAATCCTCAACACAATGCCATGCCTTAGCTTCGATCACTCCCCACACTGGACAGATGAGGACACTGAGGCACAGCGAGGTTAAGTAATGTGCCCCCAGCTATAAGGGCGGGATGAGGCAGAGCCAGGGTTCAAACATTGTTGCTATTGGACGCCAATGAATCATTTCTGACTCACAGTGACCCCTCTGTACAGCAGAACGAAGCACTGCCCGGTCCTGCAATGGCCTCACAATCGCTTGGATTGAGCCCATCGAGGCAGCTGCGGTGTCAATCCATCTCATGGAGGTCCTTCTTCTTTCTCACTGCCCCGCTGCTTTACCCAGCATGACGTCCTTCTCCTGACCACATGTCCAAAGTCCGTGAGGTGAAGTCTCGCCATCCTTGCCTCTAAGGAGCATTCCGGTGTACTTCTTCCAAGACGGGTTTATTTCTTCTTTTGACAGTCAAGAATGTTCTTCTGAATTCAAATATAGGCAGTCTGAAGTGGTGCCCGTAACTATTCCATAACGATATCCAGGCCCATAGAAACCATTGAGTCCGATTTCCTTATTCCCAGAGATCACAACACAAAGTCTGGGAAATGTTTACTCCCGAGGTCATAAACGAACCTCATGGTAGTAGACTTCATTTTAGTTCGCATTTAAGATCACACCTTTAATTTCCTTAGTTTTCCTTAATTTGGTGCGATTTGGGCAGCCAAGTCTGGCTCATCAGCTTGAGCAGGTGGGGCTAGTTCAAGCCCATATTGGCCAGGAATGGGAAGTACACCCCCCACCGGGCCGAGACATCATTCCCAAGCCAAAGAGACAATCATTCATCTTTAGAGATGACATGACCTAATAATGGAGGTGTGTATGTGGAGATGGATTGGGTAAAGTGTCATATAAACAATGAAAGGTTTTCCAAGTTCTAACCAGAGCCCTGGTAGTACAGGGGTTATAAGCTGGGCTGCTAACCCCTAGAGCAGCAGTTCACGACCTGTGGCGGTCTGTCTGAAGCTTGGTACACCTGTGAAGAGTTAGGGCTTCAGAAACCCACACGAATGGTTCTACCCTGTCACTCTGAGTCAGAATTGCCTTGAGGGCAGGGAGAAGGGTTAACCACTTGCCATTGAGTTGATTCTTCCTCCTGGCCACTCCCTGTGTATCAGAGTAGAACTGTTCTACAATGGCTGAGTTTGGGGGAAGCAGATTGCCAGACTTTTCTTCTGAGGCACTTCAGGGTGGACTTGAACCTCCAACCTTTTGCTTTGAACTTGAACTGCACCGAATTTTAGAAATAAATTAATTGCATGGCTTATTATTTTATTTTTTAAACCAGAGGAGCTTCCAGGAACCTAATGGTGGAGAAAAACATTGACCTGCTCCTTCCAACTGATGTTTCCTCCTGCTTTATTTTTTGAAAAGAGCAGTCTCTTGATAGACTTGCACTTTTTTGATAGGCTTGCAATCCTAGCCAGTAATTGCGAATCTGACATATATTACTGCTAGACCCAATTAAGTTGTTGTCAGTAAAATACTAATTATAATGGCAATGCCATTACTCCACAGGCATGTTTTGTCCATATTGACATAGCTTTGGAGGTCATAGGAGAAAAGCATCCCTGTCTTTGGAGGCCCAGGCTCTTCTCTTAATTTTCACGTGTGGGAAGAATTTACACTCTTTACATATGTTCTACAAGCTGACAGTGAGGTGTTCAGAAGACTGTTGGCCACCAAAAGCCAGGTGGAATTGGACTACCTTGGATACTAGAAGGCAGCTTAGGAAGGCTCTCTGTGCTCTTTCATATTTTTGAGAAAGAAGGCCTGTGGTATCGGACTCTTTACTGCATTTCTTAAAAGTCTCATTGGTTCAGACTCTGATACACCTGGTCCATCATACACTGAGTAAGGGTCAGCAGTGAGGGCAGGACCTACCTGCTCTTCCCAATCAAAATCAAGACAAAACAACGGTGCAAAAACAAGGTGCAGTTGGGTCAATCCCTGCCCATGGAGGTCCCAGGTGTGCTAAAGTAGCGCTAGGTTCCCCAGGGGTTTTCAGTGACCGAGCTTTCAGTGGCTCCTCAGCCCTGCCTTCCAGGGTGGACTCCAGTGTCCGCTCTTTCACCCAGGGACTCCGATGGAATCAAAGTACAATTTTGTCTCACAAAGCAGCGTCCTTATTTCATGCTGAATGAAATGATGATGGTCATCCTATGCAGATAACCATCATGTGAACATTTACGGACAATCCATTGTAAATCCATTGTAAATACGTTGATCTATACGGTATTTGTAAGTGGAAGATTCCATCGGTCCTTTTCATTTGAAAGATTCCATTTCTGGGGAGCATGCATGTGTACGGCATCATCACAAATGGAACGCTGCATAAATAAGTTAGATGCCTTTGTGGTTTTCAATAGGAGTCCTGCTGGCATAGTAGGTTGCAGGTTGGGCTGCTAACCACAAGGTCAGCAGTTTGAATCCACCAGATGCTGCAAGGGGAAAAGCTGAGACTTTCTACTCCTATAAAGAGTTAACAATCTCAAAACTCACAAGGCAGTTTTACCCTGTGCTATAGGGTCACTGTGAATCAAAATAAACTTCATGGCTATGAGGGGTTTTTTGAGAGAGAGATGGTTTGAATGATCACAGGGAGATGATAATGGTGGATAAGATTATGTTTTGGGGAGTAAAAATGTAACACAGTCAGCCCATCTTGAGTCGAGTTTTGTGGTTAAAGTGGAAACTATGGTGGAATTCTATACGCACTATGAGAGAGTGGTAGTTTTAGGTTTGATTGCAAACCCACTCAAATTAGATAACTGAAGAGTGGGATTCATTAAGACGCATCCTATCAAAAGCATATGGTGATGTGTTTTCTTTCTCTCTCAGAACCAGAGTGTTGAAGAATGTGTCAAAACAGTGCACACTTCAATCAGACAGCACTTCCCCAAAGTTGTTGATTTGCAGCATATTCACACCCAGGGATGAAGTCACAGCTCACTACAAGACTTCAGGGGACGTAAAGGGACTCTCATTTCCATGGCTGCCTTTATTTATTTTTCTCAGCCCCTCAAGCAAAAGGGGCAGGCCTCTGGGGAAAGAAAATGGGCACAAGCAAGATGACCTCCTATAGAGACAAAGAACAGGAAGCATGGTTTGGAAACCTAAAGAGAAGGAGAGAAGAGATGGGGAGAGATTCTTATCTGCCCCCCCCCCCCCCTTTACTTCTCACTACAACACAGAGGCCAAGCGGCTGCCTCTGGAGAAGTGGAAGCTGGCAGCATCTCCCAGTTTATGTTTCCTGCCTGACTCACCAGATTAAGCCATATTCCCACACTCACTGAGAGGGGGAGAGAGGATAGTATTCCCTTAAAGGGGCTGACATCTTTTCACAGAAGAGCAGGTCACACAGGCGAAGCAGAGATGGCAGGGATGGGACCCAAAAGGCTGACTGTGTTGTTGATGAGAAGCATTCTTGGCTGAAGAGAATTCCCACCCTCCACACAAGACCTACACTTCTGATTGTCTGTGGGTTGCTTACTCGTTTTCATGCCAAGCAGGCTGGCTGGCCACCCAGCATTCTTCTGGACTCCCTTCCCCAGCTGCTAAAGTGTGTGCTCAGGAAATGCTGACAAGTTCACCTCCCAGCCTAACTGAAAAGGAACTACTCAAAGTTTATGTTTGGTTAAAAATATATATATCAAAAAGCCATGTCACATGTTTTGGTGAATTTAGGAACCCTGTGTATGTAGATAGATAGATAGATAGATATAGATTTTTTTTTCATATGGGGCTTCTTTTTCTTTGATAAACACCAGACTGTATTTTAAGTGTTTCCAATACATAAACAAATATACTTAAATGGAGACTGCTTGGGGAGGGGAAGCAGAAGGGACATCCAACTGATAGATCTGTGTCCCTGAGTGCAGTGAATGGGTAAGGGCTCCGCTACCCAAAAGGTTGGAGGTTCAAGTCTACCCAGAGGCTCCTTGCAAGAAAGAAAGCCCTAGTTGCCAGCCAGTTCTGCTGGGACACTCGTAGAGCTAGCTCCATGGTGACTGGTTAAAGGACAGGTTAGTAACTGTGGAGAGATTTTCAGTTCTAACTGGTGGCTACTGTGAATCTCCTCCACCCCACTGGCAACAACCCCCTCCCTTTGCCATTTTGACAGCCTGAGTTTTGGGGTTCCTGACAATGAGGGGAACATATGTGGCCAGCAGTACAAACTCGCCTGTGCTTATGTCAAAGGCCCATCTTCTGACTCCCCCAGGCTGAGGGCTTTCCCTGACACCATTCCACACCTTCCCGATCTCAAGGTCTGGAGGCTGGGGGAAGCAGCACTTCCTCCGGGCAATGGTAGGGACTCTGAAGTTAAGCTGGGGCCCTGAGAAAGGGCTGTCTCCGGACGGCTCACCTTGGCCTTGCGTCTGCTGTCGTCCGTGATCATTTTCCAGTCGGAGCCATTGTTGCTGACGCCGATCTTGAATTTCCGCATGAACACCTTGTTCTCCCGGTGCTTCCCTCCCTGAATGATGACGCCCCGCACAATCTTCTCCTCCCCCAGGTCCACTTGGAGCCACTCGTTGACATAGGGGTGAGGCGAGGGTGGCAGAGCCCAGCCTGAGCGACTGGTCACCAGGCGTATATTTTCAGGCATCCAGTTTCTGTCCGCTTGGTTGGATGCTGTGATCTGAGAGTCAGAAATGAGTCCAGACACCATACCCAGCATTCCAGAGCAAGGGTAATCTAAGGGACGGAAAGAGAAAGATTCTTAAAATCATTTCCTGGGAGGCTATTGAGTAAAACACTCTTGGCACCCATCCGTATGATTTTTTTTAAAACAACTCAGGGATGTGAGGGCCATCTGGCTGCAACATTGTCACCCCATTGATCGCCAGGGTTGATTCGGCTGATCTGGCTGGCTAGGCGGGTGTCCTCTTCCCCCCTCACCGCTCCATGTGTGTCCCTCCCGATGCTGCACACTCGGTTGATGAAGAGGACGACCTTCCCCATAGAAGGAGGATCGTCCTTCGGTCAAGGGTATAGGAGCAGCTAAGCTCCCCTGCTGGAACCGCCAAACAGTGTGGGAGACCTGGTAGGGCAGGATCAAGGGGAATGTAACAAAGAGGAAGTGCTGAAATCCTGGTGGGGACTGAGCATGATAGTGGGACAGGAGGAGAATCAA